ACAGATGTTGTCACAAACAAAACATAATTAAATAAAACACAAATTAGTAGCTAAATATGAATGGCTAAAATGTAACTGAGTAAAAAGTAGATTCCTTCACATTTTAATACACTTGAGTAGCACAAAAAGTATTGTGATGTGAAAACACAAACTCAATTCCAAAAAAGAAGAACGCAGTAATTTGTAAATTCACTTTGACTTTTATTTAAATAAAACCAGTAGAAAGACAAGATATTTGATGCCTTACCTTTCAAACTTCATGATTTTTGTATCATATCAGTCATTCTGAAACTGAGGCCTGCAAAATGTTCCAAAAAAATTGGGACAGGGGCCTTTTTTAGTCTATTGTGAAATGTTCAAGAAGCATCTTAAACAGGTGATGCAATCATGCTTGGGTATAAAAGGAGCATCCAGGAAAGGCCTAGTCCTTTATGAGCAACTATGGGCTGAGTCTCACCACTTTGCCAAAAAATGTGTCAACATTTTAAGAATAATGTTCCTTAACAAACATTTGCAAGAATATTTCACCTTCTCAATGCAAAATATCATTAAAAAATTCATAAAATCCAGAGAACTGTCTGTGCGTAAAGGGCAAGGCCAAAAACCAGTACTGAATGCTCGTGACCTTCAGTTCCTCAGATGGCACTGCATTAAACATGGACATGCTTCTGTGATGGATATCACCACATGGGCTCCAGAATACTTCTGAAAACTCTTCGCCAGTCGCCACATCCACAAATCCAAGTTAAGACTCTACTACACAAAGTGGAAGCCATTTATCTAGAACATCCAGAAACCCAGTCAAATTCTCTGGGCTAAAGCTCATTGATGACTGATGCAAAATGGAACCGTTTGTTGTAGTTTGACAAATCAAACCTTTAAATTGTTTTTGGAAATAAGGAATGTTGTGTTCTCTGGGCCAAAGAGATAAATGATCACCCTCATTGTTACCAACGCAAAGTTCAAAAGCCAGCATCTGTCAAGGTTTGGGGGTGTGTTAGTGGGTGACTCACACATTTGTGAAGGCACCATTAATGCTGAGGGGTACATCTGCATTGTGGAGCAACCAATGCTGCCATCTAGACCAGGCATGTCAAACTGGGGGCCTTCCAGGCCAAAGTGCTGCAGAGATTAGCATTTACCCTCAACTAACGCTCTAAATTCAGTTATGAAGGCCTTGCTAATTAGCCGATGAGCTGAATCAGGAGTGTTTAATGAGGCAGTGTGCTGAAGTCCTGCAGTGTATTGACCTGCGAGGACTGGAGCCTGACATATGTGATCTCTACAATGGTTTTTCAGGGACATTTGTGCTTGTTTTAGCAAGACAATGCCAAGCCACTCTATGTTCTATGTTACAACAGTGTGCCTTTCAATAACTCAAAGACATACATACACGAGTCTTGAAGGTAAAGCTGTAGAGGTAGAAAGTTCCATAGTTGTGGTGCACATCTGCTAAAAGCACAAGCTCCCATTGATGAGAGATGGAAGTGTGGAGCATAGGATAGCCTAACAGAGGAAGAGCGTAGTGTTCTTGACAGGGAGTCGTCATGAAGAAGGTCAGTGAGATATGAAGGGTTTAAACCTTTAAGTATTTATATTTTGAAATCAATTCTTTGTTTTATAAGAAGCTGTGAAGAGCACAGAAGCCTGCAGTAATATATTCATGGCAATGAGTACAGGTAATGACATCACGAAAGAATGTGAAAACAATAAAGTTAATATGGTGAAACAATAACTATCTCGTTTGTACTGTTGTCAGTTGAATACAGGTCAAAAGGATTTGCAAATCATTGCTGTCTGGTTTTATTTACATTTTTCCCTACTGCTTCAACATTTTGGAATTGTGTGTGTACTCAAGAGTGCAATCCATCTAAATTTTACTTAAGTACATGTACTTGAGCAAATGTAACTAGTTACTACCAACCTCTGTTTTTTACTATGGGCCTTTATGCTTTCTAGGGATAAATAGGTGGGCCTTGAGGTTGAGAACCACTGTTATACCTTTCCAATTCAAGTGGTTTGAAAGTGAGTGTGGAATGAAAATTTTGCAGGCTATTCTTTAGACTCATTTTGCTGCTACTGTAGATCCAGTTCAGGAATTGAACATTTCCCCATTCTCAGAATATTTCCTCATTCTCATGCTTGACTGCAATGTTTGACGCAGTAACCACTGTCTTATATTACTATACTTATCCTTAGTCCAATGACCGCCTAAATAAAGAATCCTCACTGTTACTAATGAACAATCAGAAAAGCCAGCAAGTTGAAATATAGAATATAGCTGTTTGTTACCAGATTCACTTTCAATTCACTGTGTGATGATGACCAGGCAAAACCCTAGAAAGTCCTGAATAGTCCCTAAATTGCCTTTGTGCGGTCAGCTGTTGGTGAGGATTAGGCTAATAATGTGCTAATATATGCAGGCCACAGTCACAGTGTCACATTGTAAACGTACACACTGGAGGTGGATGAGAAATTCCTCTGTGGTCACCCTCTGATCGCTGCCATCGTGAAAGGAATTTTTCAGACACGCAAGGCATGGAAGACTTCTGATAAGCACCAGGCTTAGTGATCCAGTCATCACTATTCATTAAATAAATCAGTTTTTACATTTATTCAGTACATCATTGGGATGTTTCGCAAAACAGTAGTTTTTTTTTTAAACATATTTCATATTTTCCTTACACATTGGGCTGGTAATGGGTTCGATATATGCTTGATATTTGCGTAAATCTAAATCAACAGTGAAATGATCACAAACAGAGTGCAAGTATTGTGGCAATATTTGCCTATGGGTGCAGTACACTTATTGCTTACTAAGTGCAAGTTTACTAAAGAGACACTGACAAACAAGATGTTCAAAATCTACAGAGATAAAATGCATTCTCAGGCCTCAGCAATCTACTTTGTGTATTGTTTTAAGAGATTATTAGGTTTTGATTTCTTTTTCTAAGCAAGATCTCATTTTATATGTGTCAGAGAGCAACCATGTAAAAATAAGCAGTATTATTTTAATGTCTTTTTTACAGAATACACAGGTGTCCATGAATTCCTCTTGCTAATATAAACACATCAAATTCTTATTTTCCTTTTAAACTTGCATTTTAAAATAATAAATAAATTTCTATCCTGAAACAACAGTTCAAACTAATTTGATAAAATGGGTCATATATAAACATTCTATCAAATTATTTCAAAGTAGCAATTAAATATACAAACCTAAAATATTTATAATGGTTATGTCATTATCTATTTAAACTACATTAACTGAGATAGTAATAAGTTAAATGTACCTAAAATCATAATTTATATGGTACTTTCTTTTGGGAGGTGTCTCAGCTAAACCTTACATTTGAACTTGTGAAAATAGCACTTAGATTTTTTTGTATTTTTTATGTTGTTTATCATGAGTGGTATTTTTTAAATAAAAATTTCATATCATGTCACTACAGAAACACTGAGTTTTAGTCCACATATAGAGCCTTATTTTAACCACGTCCCTGCATTTTAGAGCAGGAAGTGAGATGGTCACATGGTGAGCAGTTAGATCCCACTGTTTTGAAGTAAGTGTGACCCAAAGTCTAAGAATCAGTCTGTAACATTGTATTGTCACTTCCAAAATGTATTTTTTCTGCACTTAAGTAAACTTCTTTGTGTTTTACTAAAGAAAATATGATGTTATGTGTGTACTACTAGCTGTGTTTGCTAGTCATGTACTGAATTGGGTTGTGCTTAACATTAAAATTGTCACCACCGAAACATTTGATAAAGTTTCAGTACTGTTATGATTGTTTTGTTAGTGACGAGAAGGAAAGTTCAGTCTTTTGTTGTAATAAAATAAAACATAATTAAGGAATAGGGTCACTCAAAGCAATAGCATTTTGGTCCAAGTCCGAAATGTGCTTTGAACAAATTCAGTAGAATGATCCATATAAATTAAATTATGTTTGTTTTCTCAATGGAAGATTGGTGGGGTTAGGCTAACTTTCTGGCAGGCCAAATCAAACGTCCTCACAGGCTAACTTTTGCGGCCCTGTCACACTCATAGTTTGAAGGGTCTTATATAGTACCAAAAAAAGTTATTTGACTTGCACCCATAGTAGAACCATTCTGGGGCTATATATATATATATATATATATATATATATATATATATATATATATATACATTTTTAAAGGTTCTTTAAAGAACTAAATACAATGGTCTCCATTTGAGAAGAAGAGAAGAACTATTTAACATTCAAATGATTCTTTGAGCTGCATGGTTCTCTCCCTCTCTCTCTCTCTCTCTCTCTCTCTCTCTCTCTCTCTCTCATATATATATATATATATATATGCATACATAAAAACATGCCTATAATTTTGTCCACTAGATGTCAGTAGGTCTGCAGTTAACCCACAAAGACGAAATAAATCTATATATTTGCTATTATACAGGAGCATTTAAGAGCATTGAAATGCCCCTTATATCTACAGATTGGTACTACATGTTTATGTGCTAATTCGTAATTATTTGCAAAAAGGACTACTGTAATTCGTTACAGTAACACAGACACTTTGGACAGTGGAAGTTCAATTCAGTGTCACCGAACTGATTCATTTAAACTACCCGTTTCAATTCGTTGGCCATCAAATGATTCGTTGTTTCACGAGTCAAATCAGCTTTATTCTCACCTTCTCCAGGCACACTGATGTTCCGTTGAGTGAGTCTGATGTCGTTAATTCTACTCACTAATGGAGCCAGACTGGGGGTTATTTTACAAAGCAGGATTTCTCGGTTGGCCTGATAACTTAGGCCAAAAAACCCAAACAAGCTTAATTGTCAAAATAGGAGACGACAAATAGGCTAAAAAGAAAGTCCTCAACTTTTGGCTTAAGTTATCAGGCTTGTTCGTAATATCTTAAATTCTGAAATATTATCGAATTTTATTCTACAAAAAAAAGGTTGATTCGGCTATACTTGTGAGTCGGTTCGCTCACTTTGCTAAAAAGAACCGGTTCAAAAGAACGATTCATTCATGCTTCGACGGCGCTCCCCTTCCGTTTCAAGATGGCAGCCACCACGAAGAAGTCTGTTGTAAGTCTTTCTATTCTGAGCCTGCGGTTATTTTGAGACATGTGGTCCGGATTTTATTCCAATTCACTTTAGATTTTCAGATCGCACTGATGTTGTTTTTGTGGGTGACCATGCACAAATGCCTAAGATAGACCCGTCGTTAATTCAGCTGCGTGCTTTAGAGCTAGCCGGCTAACATAGCGGTCTATAAGGCTTCAGTATGACTGGCAGAATAAATAAGTTATCTTACTACCGCATATTAACACATATGCTCTTTGAGCATATTTAGCGTCTTATTATTCCTATATAAATGCTTGGAAATTGAAGACAGCCCAACTGTGTCTTCTTTATTATTAATGTTGTGTTGTGCAGATGTGTAACGTTGTCTTAACTAACGTTACACAGTTTTAACCCCCGAGTTACACATTAAAAAAAGATGGTTCTTCAGGTTTTTTCAGTAAAAGCAGTGGTTTTAGTTAGAGCCATAAGTTCCGTATAGAACCATTGCGTGCTTAAATGGTTCTTTGCATGGTGAAATAGTGTGTGTTTTATATGGCTTTATATAGAAGCTTTTTGAAAGTAGCACCAAAAAGGGTTCTGCTTTTGTTACAGTGTCAAGCTTGTAACTATTGAACACTTTTTGCTCCTAAATAGAACCGTTTTCAAAAAGGTGCTATATTAGAACCATATAAAACACATTCTCCATCAATCGGAAGAACCATTTAAGCATGAAATGGTTCTCTATAAACCTTATGGTTTTAAATAGAACCATTGCCTTTACTAAATAACCCTTGAAGAACCATCCATTGTAAGTGTGTATATTAACAAATATTAACAAACATTGAATCTTACACAAAACATTAATTCTCACAAGACTTTTTTTTCATAAAATCCAAAACAGGCTCAACCTTATTGTCTTTTATTCACAGTAGATGTGATGTGGACATGAAGGCTTTGGGTGGATGCTAGCTGGCATTTTAAACTGGTTAATAACTAGATTACCTGCTACAAAAGTAGTAAAAGTAATACAATTCTACATTGTCAGCTGTCATAGTTATGCTCAGAGTTTGGTGTAGTATGTAAACACTGTTAAATATGCAAATAGAACATTTCTGCTGCCCATACAGTAGGGCTAAACAACACTAAACAACAAAGTGTTGTTATTAAGTGAATACTCTCTTTTTAGGCTGTTGAAGATGTCAACGTCACCTTTGAAGACCAGCAGAAGATTAACAAGTTTGCAAGGAGCACAAATCGGATGACGGAGCTGAAAGATGAAATAGAAGCCAAAAAAGTGAGGACACTGTGTTGTTAACTGACACATTCACTGATACACTTGTTGCTTGTTTTATCTGAATAATCTACACTGATCATTCACTGCGTATTTATCAGTGATATTTTTCATTCTCAGAAATCCCTCCAGAACTTAGAAGATGCTAGCGATGACCTTATGATGTGTGAGGATGATGATCTTCAAATCCCATATCAGATTGGAGACGTTTTCATCAGTCACTCACAAGAGGAAACGCAAGAGATGCTAGAGGCTGCAAAGGTAAACAAGTAACCTGTAAATCCCTTTAAAATCCTCTTACCACTGACGTAATCAGTCAGCCACAATATGTTTGGTGTCTGATGTTTGCTTCATTAGTTCTGCACTTTGTCCATCTCCTAGATAAGTGAGTGTGCTTACATGCACACTTAATTATACAGTTATTATCTGATTTCATCTGTTTTTTTTTGTTGTTTTTTGCTGATTTTGGCTGTTTCACTTACTGCAATAAAGCTGTTGAATTTCAAGAAATCTGATGACACCTTGGTTTTAGCTCTGTAATTGGGTTATTCAGTACATGGGTGCTGTTAATCTGATCTATTTTATTTTTCTACATCTGTGCATGTGCAGAAGCAGAACCAGATAGACTCTAAACCTAACTGTAAATTCTAGTCTTAATTCAATGCTTAAAAATGCAAGTAGACAACAACTGTCAGCATTATGTGCAATTTGGAACCATAAACAAGTTTTTACTCCTTTTTTAGAAGAACTGTGTCAAAAAGTTTAAATTTTACTTCACTTGCTGCAGAATGCAAAGCTATGGTAGAGTTGCTTACATCATTTACTGACCCATGTAGACCCAGAGATTGTCTTATTGCCAAAACCTGATTGTCTGCAGTTGCCAGATTGTTATGTACCTGTAAACATATTGGCGCACAGTCTCAGAAACTACATTATCAAGTCTATTTGAAATTAGTTAATTCTATGCAGCTTGAAGCAGGTGTCTAATGATGTATATATTAGTAAGCACCTACCTGGGATAACATAGCAGTGGCTTAGGAACAACTTAGCGACCACCTGGGACACAATTGCAATGTCCTAGCAACATCTTAGCAGCCACGTGGGATTCCATAGCAATGGCTTAGCAACCTCTCAGCTACCTCCTGGGATTTCGTAGGAATGGCTTTGTCAAGTGAGCTTAATTTAATTTAATGTTGTTTGTTATGCTGTGGCTAATAAATACAGAAGTTATATTTGGCTCCTGAGCAGTAGCATAAGCTATCTGGCTTCCTTCGGCTTTAGCCAACTAAATGGAGGAAAAAAAACTCATTTTAAACAGCCTGCCCTCATGTATCCACACCAAAGCCCTTATAGTTTTTCAAAAAGAAAAGGGTTTTGCTAGTCTTTAAAATTGAAAATCTCACTTATGAACTATTGTGGCACTACTGTAGGAGACAAGTAGACATGTATCCATCAGACGTAGCGATGGTTACATTTTTTTTTTTTTTAGGGCTTTAGTGCCCCTTCAAAAAGCAAACTTTAGATACCAGTCTTGGCTGACTGACTACATTTTGTGGGAAGGGGAAATAATGTGAACTTTTTTGCCAGGGAAAGTCATTTAGACATATTATTTTATCTGTGTTTTAATTCTGAAGAAGAGTATTCGACTATTGATACATATCTGGGTGAAGCAATTTTGTTATATTTTGTAATATAATGTCCACAGGAAGCTCTGAAGGAGGAAATCAAAGGTCTGGAGGGTCGGGTGGCATCAATACAGGAAGTGCTTGGAGATCTTAAGGTCCAGTTGTATGCCAAGTTTGGGAACAACATTAATCTGGAAGCTGATGAGAGCTGAGCCCTTCAGTGAACAGACTGTATTTTATAAACTGACAACAACAATGTGATTACCCAGTTCTCTATGTGGAGCTTGCAAGCAGACCTTTTCCCCGTTTTGCAGCACTGATGATTGTTTCTGGTTTTTTTTTTTGTTTGTTTTTTTAAATGTGCCATTATGTTTCTGTAGTATTGGAAACTATTGGAAGTGGATTTGTCAGTTGAAAGGAAGAGTCTGTGGCAAAGGCATAGGGAAGCAAAGCGGATACGAGGCCTTCACTGATATTTAAATAAAAGGCATAAACAGGTGTGTTGTTCTGCTGTCTGTTTTTGGTTTGCTGCTGTTTACGGTGTTCATCTTTTGGTTGGCTTAATTAGCGTCTGTTCTTTTCAGATGTATGCTTTCTAGGATGATGCTTTGTTGATTATCTAAAAACAAAAAAAAATTCAGGGCAGTTTCTCTAAACTCAGCACAGTTGTAATCCACCGAAACAAAGTATAGTCCTGTCATGCTCTTTAAAGGCACATTCTGGCCTAAAATGAGTTTAATGTGCTGTTTCTCATGTTGCAGTGTTCTGTAGTGCAACATTAAAGCCCTCATTTCTCATCCGTGTCACAGGATTTAGTTTTATATCTTTTTTATGTTTCATCCTTCAGTGTTTTCCCACTATGATGCCCAGCATGCATTACACAAATACACCATATGACCATTGGTAATGTCTGCGGTGTCACCTAATCCTCACTGCTAGTCTCGTCACTGATCTAAAGTATAGTAAAAACAACGAAGCTAGTGTGTAGCAACTAAAATCATAAAATAATATATGCAATTTTATCTTTATTCAGTCTTTTCTTCACATTTCTGTTTCTTCAAAAGTCATTTTTGTTGTTTGAGCAGTAATTGTAATGATTTAAAGACAGTTACTTCATTTATACTTCTGCCATAAGATATGCAGCTTCTTAGCCTTGTGTTTTTTCAAAAGTTCTTTCCCCCTTCAAGATACATCATCAGAAGGGAATTTTTCTAGTCTGTAAACTGGACATTTCACTCGAGATTGCTGCAGCACTCCTGAAGGATGCAAGTAAGCATGTTTACAACAGATGTAGTAATGATTCCATTTTTCAGTGTGGGCAGAGTGTCTCTTTAAGCAGAGGGAAAATGGTTTCTGCCTTCATTTTACTCTTATTAAATAACAGTCTTGAATTGTTGTCGTCAAGCCTATTTTTATGCAGAAAGAAATTAATATAACCAAGCCAAAAATCCATTTTTTTGTCATGAATTACCATTTTGTGCAAGCAAACATTGGAATAAACTTCAGACTTCAGGAACCTCATATTATTATTCTCAACAAACAACTGTCTCTGGCATCGAAGATAAGCAGGTTGAATTCCTGCCTGAATGTTTGGAAATTGCTGCCTTGTGTTTTAATATGAAATACACTGCACTAGAGAAACTTACGAAGATATTGTTCACAGAGGTGATGATAGGAACCAGAAATATGAAGAGTTTCACGCCTCAAAAATCGACCTCACACAAAGTTATTACACTAACTGATTATAAATATGCGGCCTGATGTCTGAGACATGGTTTTATGATAGCTCTGGGATAAGCTTTTGGCTTAAAGTGTATTTTTTTTCCATTCATGGCATGTATAGTACCCACACACAAATTTTGTGAGCCGCTTATCCTTCTGGGTTGCTGGAGCCTATCCTAGCAGTAATCAGGCAGAAAGCAGGAAACACCCTGAAAAGGTCACCAGTCCATCACAGGGCAGACACTCAGACATACACATTCACATCTAGGGTCTTTGTCTTTAGGAGGAAACCCACTCAGACACAGGGAGAACATGCAAACTCCACACAGAAAAGACCCTGGTTGCCCAGCTGGGGAGTTGAACCCAGGACCTTCTTGCTGTGAGGCGACAGTACTACCCACTGCGCCACCGTATATATAGTACCTGTTAAAAAAATATTGTTATGGACTTCCTACTATTTTATCAGTACTGATATTACAAATGAAAACTCAGAAGACACATGTAGGTTCACTGGTTGTTTTGTATAGTAAAAAAAAATGGCTATATTTGCATAGTAGACATTGTGACCCCTGGTTGCCATCGCCACCACTGTAAATAAATCAGATTTCAGTTTCTCTACAATGCACTGTAGTCACATTTGCTCATCTGTCCACATTGGTTACCATATTAATTACTCATATGTGAGTATGCAATCTAAGGAGGGGCAAGCAAAATTTATGCAAACTTGTCATATTTATCAGCTTAAATGTTGATGTGTACCTTTACCTAATAACTAGAATAATCACACTATAGTTTACAACACAACTGCACTTTTTAGCAACCTGATCATAATGTTCAGAGGTAGGTTTAACCCTTAGAACCCGTATGGTAGGTAACTTCTAGCCTTCATAACTTCAGAACGGTTTAAGCTACAGACATTATATACATATCAGACCATTCAGCATACCTGGCCCAAACCAGCTAGCATCATCATCAGTAAGTAATTTGGCTCTGGAAATCACCCAAAATTCTGATGTTATGGCTCTTCTTTTTGGCCATCATATTCCAAAAAGGGTTAAAACAGCAACATGATTCACACATCAGATCACTCATCAGACTCTCACAATCCAGAGTGATTTCATCCACCTGTGACTATCCATCATCCAGCAATCCAAAATCACCCAAAACCCACTCGCTACTGTTATATCTCAGCTTTCATATTATAAATAAAGGGTTAAAAATAGCAAGAAGATTCATACAGCAGAACACTCAAAGGGACCTGCCATCACTAGCCAGAGTAACCAGCTATAACATCCCACAACCTAGAAATACAGCACCAACACACAGCCAGATCACTGTAAAACCTGCTATTAGCTCTCTGCTTTAGCCTTCATGTGGCAACAAAAGGTTTAAATCTTTACTGAAGCAGACACTGTAAAACTACAACATACAAAGTAAAAAATGTTAACTAAATGTTTGCTCAACTCGCCGTGTTTAAGCTAGAATTTGTGAATGGGCTCCAGCAACTTTCCTGCTGCATGTGGACTGGTTGTGTCTGGAAATCTGAATCAGATTTGAAATCACATACAAACATAGCTTGAATCTGATTGGAATGAGGCAGATTTCAAATGGCTGTTGCTGATCACACTGCAGAAAATCTCTCCTGCTTAGATCATGCTGAAAAATCTGATTTGAGCTTCCTGTCTGACAAAAAAAATCAATGGAACACCACTTTAACCAGAGTAAGGTCCTTTGCGAAAAAACTGCTCAGGTGCATTTGGTGAAAGATGCATCTTCTGTGGATGTAAGTGAATAATCTACTTTTGTCATCATATCTTCGTCAGTATAGTGTTGATTTTGCATTTAAGACCTAAACATCAAGCCGGACCTTCTTTTTAAACCTTGTCGGGTGACGTTAATACGTAAAGACATATGATGTGGCCCTTAAAATCAGACCCAACACTTCTGACTTTTAAATTACTATTTCAGGCTTTACAGAGTGACTTGCATAGATGCCTCATTTTAGCATGGTTGTCCTGACTCAATAATGCTACTTCTTCCCATTTTAACAGCAGATTGCACTTACAGAGTGCAGCTTTAATGTGCGGACGCCGGCGTCTAGACCACTAGGAGGCATGCATCAAGGGGGTACAAGAAGGAAAACAGTCACACCATTAGTGAGAAGTCATGCTCAAGTAATCATAGGAGTTGTCCAGTGTTGGTTTCCCAGGTGTGCATTAATTGCATCTTCCTCCTTGTTTGTCTTCTCTTGGGCATCCAATTTTAGCTTAGGGCTTTAAATGAAGCTAAAGAATTAAGCCTTTCATTTTTTTTCCCATCACTCTACAGCAAAAGAAGAAAAAGAAATCTAACAGCCTGTAGGGAGCCTTTTGACACTCTGAAACTTAACACTCAGTCAATTAAAGGCATGAAAAATATGCTCTGGTGATTTCATGTGCTGATGAATATATATATTAATCAAGCACTAGACGCGTATTGAAGTGCGACCATAGTGCCGCAGTTGTCTGCCACAAAGCACACGAATGAATAATATGAGGGAGGCAACTTATACAGTAATCTATAATTCAGTGTTTGGGATCTCGCGAACACATGAGATTCTGCATTAGCTAGTCACAGAAAGGTTATATCTTTTTCAGTAACCGAGGGAGCCAAGCAGATAGACTTCAAACAGCAGTACAATAGTAACATTCACTCTGTCCCCATGGAACAAGAGTATATCTAACATCACAGCGCAGGAGAAGCTAAGGAGCAGTGTGCAGACAAAAACGTAGTAGGAGTTCCAAGTGTAAACTGAAGCTAAGATCATTCATTAACAAGTTTTGGGCCACATTAAAAATGATGAAACCCATGATGAGCGTGGATTCTACATGAAACAAGGACTAGTATTCATATACAATCTTTGAATAAGTAATTGTCTGATATTACCAGCTCTGGCACAATATATTATACCCAGAAGAATCCTGACTTAGTGTGGGCCTCTTAATTAGAAAGGAGAGATTGACTCTCTTGGGCCTGCAGCTAATTTGCTGAGCTAATGGCAGCTGACAACGGTGTGGTCTCTGCCACACGATGGAAAAAAAAGTCTTGTAATTAATTTACAAATGTATGTCTGATCTCATTAGTTGGTCTATCATAGTTTAATTTAGCTTGTGTGGGTGTGTGTGTGTGTTTGCAGACCAGCTGAACATGATCTTTACTGCATTACATACTATGACTATGAAGACAGTGTAGAACAGGTCACTGTTGGCTTGTCTAGAGTTTTTTGAGACCTCAGAGGGATAAAATTCCGCTAAGGATAAACTTTGGCAGGAAATATTTGGCGTTTCATCATGTAGTCACACCAGTCACCCCCCAAACAGCCGGTCTGTTTGTGCCCTTTATGCTAGCATCTCAGAGCTGTCAAGCATCACACTTAGAAATGGCTGAGGAAAGGTTAGGAGGACTTGTTTTTCTGCTAATAATGGAGACCTTTATTAAGATAAGGTTCACTGCCAAAGAAGCTCACAGACAAATAATTCTGTATTTCATGCTAGTGCAAGGTATTTGCATTTATGCAGTGTGAAAGGACTAACTATGGCTTGAGGCAGTATTTTAGCAAAAAAGCACATTTAAACTCTTTTCTCCCTATATCCAAATGTGGTCAGTCAGTAGGTTCTTTAGGTCTGCATTAATGCTACAGGGCTATTGTAGCTAACAAGCACATATACACCAATCAGGCATAAGATTATAACCACCTCCTTGTTTCTACGCTCATTGTCCATTTTATCAGCTCCACTT